ACATATTTTATGACCCTCATTGTGTTGGCAAGTAAAAAGCCAGTATTAAATGTGTGTCCTGTTTCTGTGATCATAAGAGATCCCAGAAAATGCATTTTTGTATTAATCTCACCTCTAGATACATGTGTTTCCAACAATTATTTTTCTTCATACCAAATTTCTCACTTATTTTTAATCTTATTATATTTTATGTATTTTCATAATTTAAATTATCCTAAGATAATTCATGTACAAATACATGAATGTATGTAAGAAGAATACTAATTGTGTTTTTACTTATAACTGATCACAAAAAATAAAATATTTTTAGAATTAAATTTGAGGCTTAATATTTTATGGTAATATAATTGAGTCATTCACTGCCAAGTTTATTGCATATTATTTTTCACTTAAACAATAGTTTTAATTCTGTCACAGAACTATAAATTTCACAATTCACCAGGTTGCTGTCAACTACATTAACTAGCGATATTAGTATTCTACATTATGATTCATATGAACACAAATCACAATCTGCAAATTTAATTGAGTTTCAGGTGACAATCTCCTCACCTAGAAAAATATTCAGCAGTTCCAAGGTTATGTAAAACTGCTATTTTTCAACTAAGAGAATATGTTAGCGTATCCTTATTATAATTATCAATTTAAATGGTAAATTTAACTGAATTAATTGCATCTTGTTTGTCCAGACAATGATGTTGTCATTTATTCTAGATTCAGGTGTATATAGGGAATGTACAGAAGATTTATCTCCTTCCCAAAAAATGCATTATTGTTTATGGTTTTAAAATCATTATTACAAAACTTAAAATAATTACTAAAGAGCTATACTCATAGGTCCATTTAAATTAAATGGATAGAATAAATGCTAGTATATTAGAATCATTCTTGGATCATTTCATTAAAGAGCACATTAGACTAATGATATTGGGGGGAAATCAGAAGTCAAAGTAATTAATTTATGAACTTTAACTATGAGAACATTGGCTCTCAGACATATCTGTTGATTAATTATAATTTGTTTATGTTGCTATAGTGAACCAGGTAAATTTATCATTGAAACTTCCCCAGAGGTTGAAGAGAGTTTTGAATCATCTGAGACACCTCTAATTCCTACCATTCAGACTGTTGCCTTAACTCAGCCAACTGATGAAGTCGTTTAAGTGCTTTTTCTTGTTTCTTTTCATCTTTCCATGACTTGGAAGCTACATTTCGAGCAAATTCCCGTTGCTTTAATTCTTTCAGTCTCTGTGGACAAAGAAGAAAAACAGGAATAAGTAATATATTATTTTCCATCCACAATGTTTCTTATTAAATTTGGTCCTGGGTGCAGAGGTGACTTTCTGGATAGGGAGAGTAAAACACCTTATCCCTCAGTGCTATTCTCTGCTCCGTGATAAATTTAGTTCTCAACAGGGTTATTTATTAAAGCTTGTCACAATCACTTCAGAAATGTGCTGCAAAGCTGGGCCCCTATTCTTGCTGGGACCACCCTGGCTACATAAATGCAATAATCTGTGTGCCTATAAAAATATAAATGGGAAAAATGTGCAATATATGAATGGGTATGAAAGGGGAGAATGTTATGGGATGCACTTTCTTCTATCCATTGNCAAAGTATAAAAATATATATTTAATTCACTTTTTTGCATAAGTTCTAGCATTGTGTCATTTTTGTTTCCTCAATTTTAAAATTCATTCATGTTTGCTTCCTTGTTTTCTTTTGAAACAGGGTAGTTAGCTCTTTATGACCAGTTACTATTTTGACTAATCATAATACATGCCTAATACAGTGACACATTTACAAAGCCATCTCAATTATCTTGAAATCTTTTCTATTGCTTTTTACACACCAAATATTTTCTTTCTACTTTTTGTGCATGTATGTTTTATCTTTTAACAGCTTTTTACAGATTATTCATTCAACTGAGCTTAATTAGTAGTTCAGTTAGAAAGCTGGAAAGAGCAATGTATATAAGAGAGGAAACTGTTTAGACTAAACTTATCTCTTTAATGTTTTATCTATAAAACCTCTACTACAAAACAAGGCCTTACTGGGGGAAAGACAATACAACTGACATCAATGATCTGATTGTTTGCTTTGAGATGGCTTTCTTTTCCTTTTTTTCTTTTTCCACAATCTTAAATGTGTTTTTGGTTTTTTCCTATTTTAGATTTTTATTTCATTTTTATTCTGTCGTTTCTTGCTTAAGTATACAACACTATAACAACTGATACCTTTACCACATATAGTCAAATTCTAATGGAGAGGAATGCTTTCTGAGCCCTCAGTCTGAGAAATTCTTTCTTAATGCCTTCACTTATGATGATTTGGCCAATCAATATAGAACTCTGGAGTCACATTTGTTTTGTCCACCAAATTTTACGTACTTTGCTTCATTGTTTTTACATGTTTAATACTGTCTGTCATATTTAATTAGTCTTCTTTTATTAATTTTAGTAATGAATCAGTTTGAGTATTTGTATGATTTTGCAATTTTTCCTTTTTATTTATATATTTGTTAAATAGACTATATTTTTGTTATATTTATTATATATAATATATTATATGTAATACTTTACCAGACCCTAGTCACACACTGATTACTTTTGATTATTTTTTTGCTAGTACTTTATGGCACTTTTAATTCAACTTTATTTAGCTCAGACTTATCTTCCCAGATTTCTAGCTTCTTGTCCTGGAATTTATGTTAAATTTATTGGATCCCCTGAAAATATAATTTAGGTCTTATTATTTATCTCAGTATTCTAGTGTCTTTAGTCTTTTTCTCTAGTTCAGAAAGAATTTCTTGTTTTTAATTTCTATTTTAGTGATTTATTTTTTTAAATATCCAATCTGTTGTTTACTATGTGCATATGGATTTTAATTTACAAACAATAATTTCAGCCACCATTCAGTCATTGATAATTTCAGATTGTCCTCACTTCATAAAATAATGCCTATAACTTTAGAGTTACAGTGTTCCCTTGAATCTTGTGGAAATTAAATTTAGAAATTTTATAAAAGTATATTCTGTTCCTTAAAGTAACTGTTTCAAAATGAAAACTTTCCTCTTATTCATCACATTAATATTCTTTTA